CCCTACCCAGAGGAGCACTGACTGAACTGCTTGTTGTCCTAGGGCACCCAACTGATGTGGCTGAAGGTTTGAATAAACATTAAAATGTCAATATGCCCAAGTTTATCTTTTAATAGGGGTAAGAGGAATGCCTTTAGTGCAAGCTTTTTCTTTAAAAATATTTTATTTGCTTCCCTGTTTTTCTAAACAAATGATATACTGGAAAAAAAGGCAATTTTTTGATAATAATAGTGAAATGAACACTTATTGAATATTTAGTATATCCTGATCACTCAAGATCATAATTATAATAACTATGATTACCGCAGGGTGGAATGTTCTTTGTTGGCTAGATTTTGGTCAGGATTTGAGCTGTTATTTCTTCTTGGTCATTGGGTCTGTTTATAGTGACATCTCTACTATACAATTTGTTTTGGAAACCTATAATGGAATGAAATCCCAGTAACAATGTAAGAGTTTTGTGATGACTGTTCTTACGCTTTAAAATTTTTTCACTTATTTCCAGCTTTCTAGAGGTCATCAGAAAAAAAGCAATCTGAAGATAATAGAAGTATATAATTTTTGCTATTATATAGTCAATTAATTCAATAAATAATTAATTAATGCCTACTATGGGCCCAGAACATGCTATTGTTTTTATATGTATGCCATTTACTTTTATTTAAATATATATAACTTAGGGTAAGGAATTATATCTTATAAAGTCTTTATTTATTGATGTGTTGAAGTGACAGATAAGGCACTAACCCAAGTAAATGGCAGTACTGAGTATAAGAAAATTATTTTCCACTTCACCCTTTTAGAAATAAAGATTATTGGCATTAATACCAGAGAAATAAACTCTATTTTCCTAGTACCCCCCCGAAAGCTGTTGCCTGATTTGTTCTACAGCATGAATCTCTCCACATGGGGAGCAAGAAAAAGTTTTTACAATACAGTCTATGATTTCTTCTATCTTCCTACGTATCTTTTGTTTAATTTAAACTTATTCACAAATATTTATTTACTGTCTCTTATATTCTAGGTACTAGTTATCAAGCACTAGTTCCTATCATCTCAGTGCAATGAATTGAGTTTGTTGACCTTGAAGGCCGGGATGAACAGATGGACTTTGCAACTAGAAGATGCTCCATTTTTTCTTTTAAGGATCCTTAAGTGTCACTATTAAGTATACCTTTTAAGTAGCTGATATGGTTTGGCTGTGTTCCCACCCAAATCTCACCTTGAATTGTAATAACCCCTACATGTCAAGGGTAGGGCCAGGTGGAGATAATTGAATCATGGGAGTGGTTTCCCCCATACTGTTCTCATGGTAAAGAATAAGTCTCATGAGATCTGATGGTTTTATAAATGAGAGTTCCCCTGCACAAGCTCTCTCTTGCCTGCTGCCATATAAGATGTGCCTTTGCCCCTCCTTTGCCTTCTGCCATGATTGTGAGGCCTTCCCAGCCATGTGGAACTGTGAGTCCATTAAACTTCTTTGTATTTAAAAATTACCCAGTCTTGAGTGTGTTTTTATTAGCAGCATAAGAACAGACTAATATGGTAAATTGGTACCTGGAGTGGGGAACTACTGTAAAGGTACCTGAAAATACGAAAGTAACTTTGGAATTGGATAGCAGGCAGAGGTTGGAATAGTTTGGAGGGCTCAGAAGAAGATAGGAAAATGTGGGAAAGTTTGGAACTTCCTAGAGACGTGTTGAATGGCTTTGACCAAAATGCTGATAGTGATATGGACAATAAAGTCCAGGCCGATGTGTTCTCAGAGGGAGATGAGAAATTTGTTGGGAACTGGAGCAAAGGTGACTCTTGCTGTGCTTTAGCAAAGAGACTGGCAGCTTTTTGCCCCTGCCCTAGAGATATGTGAAACATTGAACTTGAGAGAGATGATTTGGGCTATCTGGCAGAAGAAATTTCTAAGTGGCAAAGCATTCATTAAAGTTTGGAAAATTTGCAGCCTGATCATGTAATAGGAAAAATAAAGAAACATTTTCTGGGGAGAAATTCAAGCTGTCTGAAGAAATTTGCATAAGTAACAAGGAGCAGAATGTTAATCACCAAGACAATAGGAAAAATGTCTCCTGGTCATGTCAGAGACTTTCAAGGTAACCCCTCCTGTCACAGGCCTGGAGGCCTAAGAGGGAAAAATGGCCTTCTGGGCTGGACCCAGTCTCCCCCTGCTCTGTGCAGCCTAGGGACTTGGTGCCCTGTGTCCCAGCTGCTCCAGCCATGGCTAAAAGGGGCCAAGGTGCAGCATGGGCCATGGCTTCAGAGGGTGCAAGCCCCAAGCCTTGGCAGCTTCCATGTGGTGTTGAGCCTGTGGGTGCACAGAAGTCAAGAATTAAAGTTTGGGAACATCCACCTAGATTTCAGAGGATGTATGAAAATACCTGGATGTCCAGGCAGAAGTTTGCTGCAGGGGCAGGGCCCTCATGGAGAACCTCTGCTAGGGCAGTGCAGAATGGAAATGTGAGATTGGAGTCTCCACATAGAATCCCCACTAGAATACTGCCTAGTGGAGCTATGAGAAGAGGGCCACCATCCTCCAGACTTCAGAACGGTAGATCCACTGATAGCTTGCACCGTGCACCTAGAAAAGCCACAGACACTAAGACTACCCCATGAAAGCAGCTGGGAGTGGGACTGTGCTCTGCGAAGCCACAGGGCAGGGCTACCCAAGGCTGTGGGAGCCCACCTCTTGCATCAGTGTGACCTGGACATGAGACATGAAGTCAAAGGAGATCATTTTGGAACTTTAACATTTGACTGCCCCATTGGATTTAGAACTTGCATGGCTATAGCCCCTTTGTTTTGACCAATTTCTCCAATTTGGAACAGCTATATTTACCCAATGCCTATACCCCATTGTATCTAGGAAGTAACTAACTTGCTTTTGATTTTACAGGCTCATAGGTGGAAGGGACTTGCCTTGTCTCAGATGAGACTTTGGACTATGGACATTTGAGTTAATGCTGAAATGAGTTAAGACTTTAGGGAACTGTTGGGAAGGCATGATTGGTTTTCAAATGTGAGAACATGAGATTTGAGAGGGTCCAGGGATGGAATGATACGGTTTTGCTGTGTCCCCACCCAAATCTCACCTTGAATTATAATAATCCCCACATGTCAAGTGTGGGGCTAGGTGGAAATAATTGAATCATGGAGCCAGTTTCCTTCATCATGTTCTTTTGGTAGTGAGTAAGTCTCATGAGACCTGATGGTTTTTTAAAGGGGAGTTTCCCTGCGCAAGCTCTCTGTTGCCTGCTGGAATGTAAGACTTGCCTTTGCTCCTCCTTTGCTTTCCACCATGATTGTGAGGCCTCCCCAGGCATGTGGAACTGTGAATTCATTAAACCTCTTTTTCTTTGTAAATTACCTAGTCTATGTTATGTCTCTGTTAGAAGCATAAAAAGAGACTAATACAGTCACAATGGGGTAAACAAGCTTATACTCATTGTATAGCTTCCCTGGCACAGACAGGCCATGGGAATAATTAAAAATGAAGGAAACTTCCTCTGTCCCCATTCATCAAATTCTAAACAACCTCTTTTTTTTTTTTTTTTTTTAATTGAGGCATAGTCACGGCAATGTCTTGCATTTAGTTTATGCCTGATAAAGCTGATTTGATTTTTGACCATGAACAATGGCAGAATAGTGGTGGGTGGGGGCATGGAGAAAGATAGTATTTTTATTTTTTTAATGTGTCTTTTTCCTTGGAAATAAAAACCAGGTATAATTTATATTATATTTAATCAAGAAAATACTGAATCCATACAAAATAATGTTTCTGGTGAAGCTGTAAAAATATGTCATAGTCCTAAGAAGATAATACCATCTTAAAACCAGGTTAAAAAAGAAATAATTGCAAGATATACTAGTTTTACTTACAATCGGTTATCTTCAGGTCAGAAACTTTCCTTACTGTATATTATTAAATTAATAATATAATAATTGGATATTATTATCAGTTATGCATTTATTTTTATGGTGAAAAATTTCAACTTTACATAACATTAAAGACAATAGTATATACTCATCAAAAAGATCCAAAAATTATAAACTTTGGCATCCTTATTTAGCTACTTTTTAAAAAATACAATTTTAGCAGCTGATGGTCATTGGGCTTGTTTGTGTTTTATTTCCGCTGAAATACACTTTAATGTAATGAATACTGATTTTGAATTCCAAGTTCCCATTTGGTGGTTAATGTTTAAGTAACATTTGGTGAAGACTTCAGTATAGATAAATTTCCATAACAAAATACTTCATGGAGAAGTAATTTTTTTTGTTTTTCTGTGCAATGAATATTGCTTTCAATAGGGGATTTTACAACTAAAATATGAAGACATTTAAGTTACATGGAGCTTTTTGAGGACCATCATAATAAGTATCTGACATTTTTGTGCACTTGTGTGCCAAGCATTGTCCTAAGAGCTTTACATGCACCCACTCTTTAAACAACCCTATGAGCTATGCTTATTATCCTTATTTTACAAATTAGAACTCTGAAACTGTGAAAGATTAACCTACTTAACTGTCCAAAGTCTCTAAATAAATATCAGGCAGAATAATATTTGCTAAAATTGTATTTTATTTCTATAAGTGATGTTTTTGAAAGATTTTAAAAAATTTTATCTCTATCGTGAATAACCATTAAATGGTGTAATAAATATAACATTTTATACAGTCATTGTTTAAATTAAAGAACTTCTGCATAAACAGACAAAAAGACTGAATCCAAATCAGAGACGCAGTAACGACCATGGGAGGTAACAAGAGATGAACACAGAACCCCAGGAGCAACGGGAAAGAAGCAGGGCAGTCCCCCAAATAAAAAATATACAGGAATATAAGGAGATTGATTTAAGTGTCCTGGGTTTCAAGCCTACATTTTGCAGTTTCTGCATATAAAAATTTTTAAAAATATTTCAGCTTATTGGATCTATTTTTTAAAAATAATTTTAAATTTTGGTCTGTAAACAATAAAAATAGTGACTTACGTGTCAACAGAAATAAGTTTCTTTTCCCCATGGTCAGAGGCATAATTCCAAGCCGTTTCAATAATTCCAATGTAATAATGCTTTTCTTTCGCCCAGGCTGGGGTACTATATAAAAACAGAAAAATACCAAGTATCAAAATCTTCATTTTTCTTCCCCCTTCTTGGAGCCTGAGAAGCAATGAAGTAAAATCAGGAGCAGGCAATTTTATAAATAAGACTTTCTTCCTTATTTGCTTGATTGACACAATTTAGCGTTGCACAAGAGTAAATTGTTTCATTAAAGCAAATATTTTCCAATTCAGTTAAGTTCTTGTAAATCACCAAAAAACCAGTTCCTGGTTGCCAGGCTTCTCTGTCTGAAAATAAAGTCAACAGTTATTGTTGGAGGCCTTAGTGTGTGCATAACTCTGCGCCTTTTTCCATTCATCGTGTAAATTCCAGGAGGGCAGAGAAGATGTCTAAATGCTCCCTTTGTTCCTCTGACAATATGTCACAGCACAGTGTCCTGCAAACAGTGCACTTTCAATAAATCAGGATAAGGATTATATAAAATGAATCAAAACATGTAGCTTTTTAGTACAGTCATCCTTAATGCAGGGATACATTCTGAGAAATGCGTTGTTAGGCTATTTCATCATTGTGTGACTATCATTGAGTGTACTTACACAAACCCAGATGATACAGCCTACTATACATCTAGGCTGTATGGTATAACCTATTGCTCTTAGGCTACCAACCTGTGTAGTATATAACTATGCTGAATACTGTAGACAATTGTAACACAATGATATTTGTGTATCTATACATATATAAACATAGAAAAGGTACAGTAAAAATATGGCGATTATAATCTTATGGCACCACCATCACATATGCAGTTTTTCATTGACTGAAACATTATTATGTGGTACATGACTATTTCTAAAAGTCTAACAAATGATTAATTACAGCTTTACGATATGAAACATGATATCTAGCATGCAAAATTTAAGTAAACAAAAATAAGAATTTTATTTGGAAGAATTTATCTAATTTATGATCTTGGACCACATCTGCATAAAAACTTTACCAGATCATTTTGTATTGCTATATGCAAATAACTAGCAGACCCTAGCAGAGGCTGCTAATTTTGTTTTAGTCATTAAAGAACCAGTCACAACTAAACCTGTCTTCTGAGGCAAAGATTGGTCTTAGTAAATAGAAAGTACACCAGTTTATTATTAGACTGAGATCTCTCTCTTTGAAGTGGACATGAATTTAAGGTGGGAGGCTTTTTATTAAAACCCTGTTTTTAGTTAGGAAGTATATGTCTAAAGGTATGAAGTGGCTTTTTTTTAGCTGAAGAAAATCCTAGTAACAGTTGAGACTTTGTGTTAGCACAATTTTTTTCTCTCAAATATCTCCAAATATTGTGTATTTGCTAAAAAGCCACTTGTTAAAATAGGCTGGTATAGAATAAAGCATCCTGATATTTGAACAATTCATTAATTTAGAAAATATCAAACGAGCCTCGTTGTGTGCCAGGTTCTGTTCTAGGCACTGGGAATACAGCAAAAAATAAAACACCTACCATCATGGAACTTACATTCTACTTGGGAGAAACTGACAGTATAAAAACGGAAAATGAAATACACAATATTAGTGGTAAGTGCCACGGAGAAAAACAAATTAGAGAAGGAGAATAATGAGTACCAGGAAAAACAGCAGGGTGAAGATCAAATTCTGATGCTACCACATCACCTCAAGTAAGTTGCTTCAGCTTGGCCTCAGTTTCCTTATCCAAAAATCTCAGATTAATTGAAATGATCCGTGTTAAGACAGACAATGGAGGCACTTCTCTTACCAGCTGGGAATAATCTTAACTAAATGACCTGATACAGAAAACTGAATCACGGTGCCCGGGATGCTCCAAGGCCTTCTTCTTGGACTGCCTTGAACAATTGTGCCCTCATGTAGACGAGAGGACCGGCAAGGGACTAAAATCTTGTCCAGATGCCACTGGCCAAACCCTGTGCCTTGCAAGAAACTGCTTTTCCCGTAATGGTCCACACAGATGGGGGAGCATCTTTCAGCCATTTATTCTCCCCAGGGCATAGGGAAGGGGGACAGTTTTTTTCTAATTGGCATGAAGCCACTATGTGAACCTGCAACTGTCCCAGCCATTTGCTTTTCATTTTTCACTCAGTGCTCAAACTCAGCCTTAGTCTTGTGGATGGAAGGATAGTGATCAGAGCACAATAACCTTACCCAAAGTCACTTGTTTCAGCAAATTGTACCAACCAACCACCCAACAAACAAACCTGTTCAAATAGTTGCTGAGGGTTCCAGAATGTATGCATAGCACACCCCTCATATTGGTGGTGAAATGAAATGGTTAAACAGTAACACTGTGACCAGTGCCCTTATGAACATTTTATGGTGTAATGCAAGAAAGGTCATGCAGTCCATATTTCTGTTCTGTTTTGTGGTAGTTACTCTTCTCATCAAAAGGCATGTGGCATGTGGCAGGAAGTGGGGAGAATTCTCTGAGCCTTAGGACTATTTAAGCAAGAGGGAAAAGCCACTGGGAGCTAATAAACTCCGCCATTGGCAGAGTCATTTTGCACTGCAAACCTCATTACAGTGATTCCAGAGATAGTACTTAAAAATGAACTTTGGGTAATGATGCAATTGAGAGTTTTCTGTACTCAAGAAATGCACCACAACAGCACAGACTGGGGGTAAGACAAGAAGGAGCAGAGGAGCACCAGAAGAAGCCTAGGAAACTTAGAGCATTGCAGGAAAGAGAGAAAACTAGACTACCATACAGCCTGTCTTCCTAGTTGTGTTTGTCAAAAGGTTTTTACCTCAGAATCCCAGGGTATATCTTTGTTATGAACAATTAGCATATGTCTAGTTGTTTAACAGCTAAGTAACCTGAGTACAGTTACTTAGCAGAAGTTTTAATCATTTTCCACTTTTTTTTGTTGTTGTTGTTGTCTTAAGGATTTCTGGACTGGGTGAATCTTATCTGCATTTAGCAATCACGATTCTGGGACTGAGGATGGCTAACATCAAGGAAGTAGCCTCCTTTACAGAATATCCCTTCTGTTTATTTCTGTATAGCAAGATGCAATCTCTCTTTACTGAAACTATTCCTGTATGTATCTTCTAGTCTCATTTTTTGTTGACCCATGAGAACTGGCTCCTAATCTCTACTCCATGCCAACGGAATTATCAGGAAACCATCAAGATCTGTCCTTCAGTTTGTGACAGCAGGAGACTCTAAGTATAAAATAGCAGGTCATTCTGACTATGACCAATTGGACGGACAACCATGCTGCTTTCTTTTTCACAGGAAATTGTGTAACTCTGGAATTTTAGAGGTGAGTGAGGTCATGTACAGACTTTGCTAATGAGTACACTGACTTGCCCTAACACAGTGTGAGCAGTGCTGATCCTATTCTCCCTATGAGTCAGGTCATGACTGTTTGGGAAATGATCTCTCAGATAGGTCTTCAGTCATGCCTTCATCCCCATTGGGCTGCCCATTAATGGGTCATGGCCCTACTCATCAGCTCCTGGGATGTAAAGTGGTTCCAGCCAAGAGAACAGAGAAAGCCCAGACTCTAACATACCAAAAGCCTTAACATACAATCGTACTATGGGAAAGAGGCTTTAAAAAAATGGCATAAGAATTTTGATTAATCATTCATTCTTATTCTCTCATTACCTTGACTGTTACAGAAATCAAAGCATGTGATTTATCAAAAATGAAATAGAACTACAATAATATAATTACATATTTTTAAAAAGATTAAAGGTCATCTCTTTTTAAAGGAATAACTTAATTGACTACTTTGACTACATAGAACTTTAATGCATGACTTTTTGAAACGTTCTCCTCTGATAACACCCCTGGCCCATTTTCTCTTGCTTTGACACCAGGTGAGGGTTATACACATTGCATAGCTCTTAACACTCTGATTTGTGTCTGGGTCTTAATTTACAAAAGATGACTGAGTGACAACTGTGAGAGGCCAATGTCATTGAGTGAACAGCTTACTGCTTGCTACTACTGATGGCCCCCAGAAGCAGGAGACAAATCATCCCATAGAAGGCCATGTGGGAAAGCACTGAAGTAGCTCCAGGCGGGGCTTCTCTCTGCACTCTGGAAGGCGTTTGACTGGGTTCTGGTTGTCACTTGGTAGATTCCAAATATTCATTTTGTCAGTTTACTTACAGGTGACTGGGTTTAAAGGGGCTGATTGTAAATAACTTGGAGAATAAATCAATATTCATTCATAAAGTTAAATAATTCAAGTAAAATTAAAGGGTAATGGGCATAATTTATATTATTGGTCTTTTTTCAATTTAGGGGCATTTCCTCTTTGTTTATAGATCTACTCAGAAAACGTATTATGGAACATAGTTTTCTTTGTAAGTATAGAATTTGAGCAGAAGGGTAGATATTCTTTTTTTACAATTAATTTTTATTTTTATTTTAAGTTCCAGGTCCATGTGCAGGATGTGCAGGTTTGTTACATAGATAAACATGTACCGTGGTGGTTTGCTGTACCTATCAACCCATCATCTAGGTATTAAGCCCAGCGTGCATTAGCTGTTTTTCCCAATGCTCTTCCTTCTCCCTACCCCAACCCTGCCCCAGCCCCAGTGTGTGTCGTTCTCCTCCCTGTGCCCATATATTCTCATTGTGCAGCTCCCACTCATAAGTGAGAACATGCAGTGTTTGGTTTTCTGTTCTTGCATTAGTTTGCTGAGGATAATGGCTTCCAGCTCCATCCATGTCCCTGCAAAGGACATGATCTCGTTTGCAAAAGGGTAGATACTCTTAAAGCGTATTTCTTTTCTTTTTTCTTTGGCATTTCAAAACATTAACATAATTTCTGTCTAACTACTGGGTACTCATTATTAGAATAAGTGCACCTTCCAACAGCTGTGCAGGTGACACATTCCAGGGACATGTTCTTAGTCTTTGACTCTCTCCTGTTAAGAATTCATACAGATTACTATTCTTCCATTCAACTCTATTTACTAAATCATACTTCACCCAACTGTTAAGTCAAAGTTTGGGACTGTGTTCCTAAATGAATAAATGATTAGTTAATTAAGCATTATTCTTGGTGAAATTTGGGCAATATCTTTTGCAATTTCTTAAAGAATGTTATAGTTTTATCAGGACCTTTAAAAGTCTCAAACTTGGATATTTCTATGGGGGGAGCTAGTTGCACAGATATTTTATAAGTTCTTAATAGTTTTAATATCAAATAATGAGGTATTATTGCTAATTTTGTCTGATGTTATAACAGCATTATTACTATACTACTTTTATTTATTTATTTATTTTTGAGATGGAGTCTTGCTCTATCACCAGGCTAGAGTGCAGTGGTGCGATCTCAGCTTA